CCACTTGTGGATACTCAACTGTTTTGTGACGTCCTTGTTGCTTAACTTTTGTCAAGCAGAAATAACAATCCGTTGCATGACAAAACGGTCGACGCCATATGGTGGGCATGTCAAAGGACAAATAGCGACTGACAGATAACAAATAAGTGAGTTAGTAAGTAAGACATTAACACTTATCAAAAATAGATGAAGTAAGATAATGTCGATCAGGAAAGAACAAAGCACTACCATGCTGTACATAAATTGTTTATATGAAAGTTATTCAAAAAATCAATTTACCTTGCGCCTGACATCCACCTAGCCAAGCACGTTTTGCACAAACTACATAATATTTTTGGAATCCACGGTTCGTCAAAGTCTCCAGGATCAATTTTAAAATAAAGCCTGTATGCAGTTTGCAACGAAGCAGTGAAATTGACCGATTTTGTAAATATATAGTTGCCACACGCGTAACAAAACTTTTGAGGATCATTTTTACACTTGAATTCACGTTTTGTCGTATACATCGTTAAGCAATGTTAAAGAAAGAAAGCTGTCAAATTGAGTTGGTTGCGTTAGGTTCTCGCCAAGCGTTCTCACAAACACTAGCGTAAATTATATTGTTGAAAATATCCCATTTAATTTTGCGTGACAGCTGGTAGTGTTAGTGAAATGCACCGTATGCGTACACGTCCGCAGAAAGGCTTACTGGAAGTGGTGCATGAACCTAGGAGCGGGACAACGGCCAATCTTGGAACATTCAATTTCCATGATTTTACAAAAAAATTCATAACTTCGACAATTTCCAACCGATTTCATCCATTAAAGGCTCATTTTCTCCAGTTTTGAATGGACTTTAAGAATAAACTATGGAATGATTTTTTAAATCTTTTTATCCTATTAAAAATGTTGATTAAAGCAAGATTTTTATGGAAAATTCGCAGGAAAAAAAAAATGCTGTAAATTTTTAAATGACTGCAAAATTTGATTTTTAATTAAGACATAATATTCAAGTAAACGATAGCAAATTTGTTTAGCTTCACTTTCATAAAAAAAGATTTAAAATTGGTGCACTAGTTCCAAAGATATTGACATTTTAGTAATCGTACTTTTGTCCAAAATTCAAAAAATCAAAATTTTTGTATATCTCAAAAATGGCTCTACTTTATTTTTTTCTGACCACGGCATTGAATTCAGCGTAGGATTTTGCATTAGAAACGTTGGTCAACCACTAAAGTTCACACTTTTTATGTTGTTTTGTAAACTAGTGTAATTGAACAGTTTGAAGAAATTCTTGGGCTGAACACACAATCTCGATTTATGAGAATCTACCACCACTACATACCGTTACACTCCAGACCGTGCTCACTTCACCAATCGCAGTTCCTCAATTGAATATGATCTGTACATGAAACAAGTGATTCATGGGATTCCAGATCAACTTCGAACTATTATTATCACGCGTATTTTTACTGAAAAGTACCAACACGTCAATTGCGTGAAAAGATATTTTACAGACGGGTCACGTCTCAATGGATCCACTGGCTTCGGTGTCTTCAATGAAAACTCTAGCGCCTTCCGCAAACTCCAGGAACCTTGTTCCGTTTTTGTTGCTGAGCTGGCAGCAATCAACTTCGCATTGGGGATGATTTCCAACATACCCGCAGACCATTACTTCATCTTCTCGGATAGTCTCAGTTCGATTGAGACCGAATACGATGAAACCAAGTAAGCACTCATCTTATTTCTTTTCAGCAGATGAGTGTACTGGTCGAAAGATCAAAATGATTACCTTTCTATGGGTCCCCTCACATTGCTCAATCCCAGGCAATGAGAAAGCGGACTCTCTCGCAAAGGTGAATTTTATGACAGGAAAATTTCTCACGATGAATTTCACCATTTAGTGCGTCAGAGTACCCTTTCGAGTTGGCAAACCGAGGAACAACGCAATAGTCAAACGTTTAAACGATCTTAAACTGATTGACCAAACAACCACTAATCGCCTCACAAGCAAAACGGCCACCTGCCCACGTATATACGGTCAACCGAAAGCCCACAAAGATGGTATCCCCCTGCGCCCAGTAGTACCCAACATAACTGCACCGACATACATCCTGTCGAAGTTCATCGCAACAATTATGTCAAATGGTTTCCAGAGTGAATACAACATCACCGACAGCTTCACGTTCGTTGACTACATCACATCGGTTACGCTACCAGCCGGATACGTGTTAGTATCTTTCGACGTAGTCTCCCTCTTCACAAACATACCGAAGAAACTGGTCGAACACGATATCATCATGAACTGGGACACTATAGGGAAAGCAACCAACATAAACCCAGATTTTTTCCTCGAGATGGTTAATTTCTGTATCGACAGTTGCTATTTCCAGTTTCGCAACAAATACTACCAACAACAATTTGGAACAGCTATGGGCAGTCCTCTTTCTCCAATTCTGGCAGAATTGGTAATGGAAATCCTCCTAAGGACTGTCACCAAGAAACTAAACTTCCCAGTTCCAGTTCTCAAAAAATACGTGAATGATCTCATCCTGGCACTACCAAAGGAGCAAATCGAATATACACAGAACATTTTCAACGAATACAACCAACATCTGCAGTTCACTGTCGAAAAGCCAGCCTCCTCAAGAATGATTACCCACAGGTAAAAGTCGCCTATAGAACACTAAAAAACACTAAAAACATACTTAGACCGGTCAAAGATCCAATTAATGATCTCGACCAACGCAACGTTATCTATAGCTTAGCCTGTGTAGACTGCCAGAAAACGTACATTGGGATGACGAGAAACCAACTCAAAACAAGAATCAGTGGACATCGAAGCAATATAAACCAATACACAAAACTAATCCAAAACAACCACACGAACACAGATGAAGAGATACATAACCTAAAGGAAAAAACAGCCATGATCAAGCACATCATCGAAGAATCCCATATGTTCAACCTAACACAACCAAAAATTCTGGACAAAACAAACAAAATATCAACATTACCAATATTAGAAATGTGTCACATAGCACACACATCTAACACAGTCAACCACCGTACAGATGTACAAGGACTTAACAGCACATATGCAGGTCTGTTACACACAATCAAAAAGTCAACAACACGCAGAAGAAACACAACTGAGTTCCTATCAGATCAGACACTTCAATATCAATTGGCTCACAATGATGATCATGACCCACCGTAAATAAATAATGACGGTGACCCCCCTCCCCCCCTTTTGTTGATGGTCCCACCATCTTATTTAAAACAAACGTTGCAGTGCTGTGCAAAAGATCACTTTAAAAATTTCCTAAAAATTAACAGTAAGTACAGTATGATCAACGAACAAAATACCATTTCAACGCACCGATTATTTATCCAAATTAAATTAGACAGGTCATGAAAAATCTACATATACGCTGTCCTCGATTCGTAAAAGTTTGTAACGGGAAACGATAGACATTAGTGAGTTAATTATTTGTGTAATTATGTTTAATTTATATGTTATATATGTGCAATACATTTTTTAGCGACCCTTAAGAAAGACCACAACCAAACGGTCGAAACGTCGGGAACGTAAACAAATAATCGTTTCTACTAAAAGACTGAGAAAGCCTTTATGGGGTGATTCTGTATATATAAAAACGGTGCACTGGGAAAAATATTTTTTGTTTTCTAAATATTGCATAAATGGCTGCAAAGACTGCCATTTTTCCAAGACAAAGTTTTAAAAAAATTAAAAAAAAAACATTTTTGAATAATTTGGATCGATTCGAATGATTGATTGATTATTTTTGTCAATGTATATTTTTACATGTATTTAAATCAATTTTCTACAACTTGTCTTAGATACCATTTCAGAGCAATCAGTAGTTATTGTGATTCGTTTTTTCAAGCTTGATCCAAAATGGTCTGAATATCTATGGAAGATTATTATTTCCTTCTTCCGTAATGATAGACAAAGTTTCATTTAAATCGGAAATACTGATATCTGATCGTTACCATATTTTGCGTAGACCTACTCATTTACACATTTATCCAGTTTTACTTAAACTGGTTCTTAGTCTGGAAATGGATCGAAGGAAACCCTTTTTGTTCATTTTCAAGATGTTGACGAATTTGAACCAGGTGTTGCTAGGAACCACTGCACAGTGAATTGGCGTCACCAATAAAGTAGGTGTACTATGTGTGCCACTGAGTGAGCGTTCAATTGTCACTTCAACCTTAATTAACCTTAAGAAGGAAGTTTCCATGCTTGTTCACTAGTGTAAAAATGCAGCAATCCATACATTTCAGTGATTGATGTTGATAAGAGGTAGCTAATTTTTGGTAGGTATTAAAATCTAATAAATGTCTGGGAAGTTGGTATTTTATTATGGGTTAATACATGTTTCGATTACAAACTTCCAATTTTCATTTAATCGTATTTTATCATTAAATTAAAACTTCGAGACGGATATGTCCACCGGATTGCTGAAATTTATGTTCACGATCATAAACGTCAACCCAATTCCGACTCATTAAGTAAAAGTACGTGCTCACCTGCAGCAGGACTTCCGCGTGTTACGTAACGAGGATCTTCTCTGCTGTGCCTTACCCAAAACAAATCATTCAAACTCTTCCCTGCATAACTCGGCAAAGCTGAAACTTTCCTCACCCACCCAGCCGGGAGAAAGTGATTCTTGCAAATGCGGCCGAAATTCTTCCGTACCATAAGCGCACCATACATAACTAACTCATCGCCATTGATCACCGCGAGGACCATGAATGCAAGCGAGTACGGGGACGGACGGGGAGGACCATCGCAATCGCAACAGGAATACTAATCAGCCTAATAAAATGGTACATTAGCGTTCAGCTGAGCCACACACACAGGCAGGTGAAAGAAAGACTCGGCCAGAGTGCGAAAAATGAGTACACTCCAAGCGATACGATTGCAGCCCGACGCCGACGCAACTAACTCGATCGAACAAAAGCTTGACCAAAAACGGCCCATCGCGCTTATTTGGTGTTTCGCTTTTCCGTGGTCCGGTAGTGTCACCCGGGGACGGACTGCTTTTGGACGGATCCGCGGGTCACTTTTCCAACGGCTTCGTTCGGGAGTGAGCGGTGGTATAAAATACTCGCACAGTCGCAAATACACTATCATTAGCTTGCTGTCATTTGTTTAATCAACACGCACTGAATTAATTGCGTTCGAATCCGACTTCGAGTAGCTGCTTCGGTCCTCCGGCGCACTGGTCTGCAAGACGAACAGAAGAACAAGAATCGGGGGTGGAAAGTGAGTGCAAAAGTGAAAAGTGCGAAGATGAAATCGGTCACGTGTCTAGTGGTGCTGAGTGCCGCCCTGTTCGGTGCGGTGTCGTGTGCATCGATCGCCTCGAACCTCGTGGTAGATGCCACGCCAAGGATCGCCACCAGCGAGCAGCTGCTGTCGTCGATCGTGAACGAGTGCTTCTCGGATGATTCGGTGATGAACTGCCTCAAGGGCAAGGTGCTGATCTACCTGGACGGAGTGCTGGGACTGCGGGAGGAGCAGGCCCGTGCCTTCGAGGAACAGAACGTCGACAAGGTGATCTTCGACCGGGTGGCCCGGGTGCTTGCCACGCACGAGTTCAAGGTGCAACTGCCGGAGGATTCCGTCGTGACCTACCGTGCCGATAAGGGTGTTAGCTTTGATGTCGTTCCAGCGGGACTTGCCACCGGTGGGTATTAGGACGCGTGTGTCGAAGTGGTTGAGGTGTGATTTGAGACGGAAGTGAATGTATTCGAAACGGACTAATGGCTGCATGTGTGGATGGTCTGAAATGCATGTGGAATAGAGCATCCAGCTGGGAGTAACCTTGCGGGAGAATAATAATATTTAGCGAGTGCTTGAAATGGTAAAGCATTTCAGTGAAATCATGTCAAGATCGTTTCATCAGTCAATAGTAATGAAAGTTTCATTCGTGCCAAGAACTTTTTGTCGAAATCCTGGACTAAGCAAAACATTAAAATCCCTATCTATGGAAAATATTGAAAAATTAGTCACTTTCATATAAGGCCGATGAAATCGACTCAAATTTAAGTTGTTTTTCACTCAAAATTGGAAAAATCGTAGGTTACTGAGTAAAATGTCTCACCCTTTTCTAAAAAAAATCTGCTCGCATTTGAGGAAACTCGACGAAAATTTTACTCAGTCTAGGAGTATACTTATAGACTGAGTGAAACATTTCTAGATTTTCCTCTTATACGAAAAGATTTTCCTGGAAATTCGAAGAAAATACGTTTTAAACTACGTTTTTGCGAATTGGAGTGAACGAAAGTCAAATTATTGTAAATTTCTTTGAAATGTGATGCCTCACTCTGGAAGTTCTAGGGATTGTGCTGGAAGTCTTCTGAATATGGCCAAGTACAGTCCTCTAAACATGCGATTGACACCCTTAGAAGTTTTTCAGCCCAAATGTAATTTTTTTTTATAATAACCATCTCGTTTTACCACGAAAACCTTCTAGCGAAGACAACATATCAAGAAGACTGGCCACTCTCACGAATATTCTCGTGCTTTCTTATTTAAAGGCCGAGAGCTAACAACATTCCCGCCTTCTACCACGCACAAATGAAAGCAATGAACGGATTTTCATAGTGAAGTTGCCAAGAGCAGCGCTACTGAATTGGGCATATAACACCTAGTAAAGATGTCCCTCTGTATCTTGATTTGTAATCTTCATGGATCAAGCATTAATTATGTCACTGTAAATAGTGCATTTTTTTTTCTTATACCTAAAGCATTGCTTGTAACAAAATTTATATCCCTCCTACCCTTTTAGAGCGTGATATAATATATGCATCATCCCTGCGCATAGGAAATCCTCAAACTCATTGAGTTTCCTCCACTCATTCTTTAAGCTCACAGGGGTTAACCTGTAAGTAATTTAAAAATGTCATGGTAGCCTGAAGATTTTATTTGGAAACTCTCGGTGTAACCCCATAAACTTATGTAAGTAAATTCTAACTTTAATGTAAGTAAATTTCTAACGTTTTTCTTAAAAGCTCTTACTTTTAATAAACGCAACCAAATAAGCCCAACACTGTACCAATAATTGATAAATTTAGGATGATTCAGCAGCCAGAAATTCAGAAACGTATCCCTTTAAATTCTGCTTTTAAAGCTGTTTTTTTTTTCTAAAATGTATGGACATCTGTACGCTCAATTTTGAGATACACTGTATGTCAAAAAACTAAAGAGAAGAATAGCGCTGCCGACACATCTTTTGCTCCTAACAGAGAAAAACTGTCAAAGCGAGAAAAAGCTATGAAGTTTGACAGTTTCGTCCCCGGATTGTTTCCTCTTCTTGACAAAGGGAACGCAAGCGCTTTGCTTTGTATATAGTTTATTAACTCTATTGCATATGCTATTTACTAGAAATTCTCAGAGGAAGAGATAGGCGGATCACCAAAATACAATTTGGCAGCAGGGATTTGTTACTAAATTATCTTGCATCCCTTGCTAGAAGCCAGCATTTCACATGACTTTTATTTTTGATTCGATTTACGTGCAAAATAATAATTGATTGCATCGCAATATTTTGCACATTTCTTGGTGCCATTAATTAACCAACTAAGAACAATTAATCAATAGAGTTAGAATATTGTTTTTGATTCCAAAAACTAGTTGAATTTGAGAAGCACACGAAACATAAAGGTGATTGAATTTCTGTTCGATAGCAATACTCTCAAATTTATTCTAGTAAGAATAAGAAATCCTCGGACAAATTCTAATGGGAATGTTCATTTGGCTCAAAATTTTCTCTTTGCCCATCTCTCCCTCTGAGTATTTCTACTATTGACCAGGTTCATGCCAAATGACCTCGACTCGACCTTCTCCGATTTCCTTGAAACCTTGCATAATTGTTTGTTATGAGCAATGATTAATATTTTTTTTCGAAATTTCAACCATTTTGAATTTTTCAAAATGGCATCTTTTGAATATTAAGAAAATGTATCACGGAAACGGCACTTCCGGAGAACTTTGAGATTTGGGCTTAATTACTTTTGTTAAAAAAAAAAAACACATCTATCGCCGATTTATCATAAATTGAAACTCAATCTCGCGAACACACCATTTCAAATGATAGAGGAATCATTTCTCTACCTGTTTGTGTCGTTAATTTTTTAGATTGAGCTTTAATTGGCGAGAAATCAGCGATTGTCGTGTTTGTTTACAAAAGCAATTACGCTCTAATCTCAAAGTTCTCCGGACTTCTGATCGAAATAACGTCTGAGACGAAGTCGAAGAGATTAATATTTTTCTGTGAAAAAAAATACAAACAAATTTAAAGAGTAATTTCAAGAAAAAAAAATAAAGCTTAAATATATCAAAATGTCGTTGCTCGATTTTTGAAATTGAAAATTTATTGAATATATTGTCATCACTTCAAGTGTTGATTTGTGGGTCCAATAAACTTAAACAGGACATCCATTAGACCTACACTTGACGTTTTTGTTTATCATCACTCTAGATGCTCTCAGAACATGTCCTGGAACAGACACTCGCGAACCTGAAATGAGCCAAGCTTAGCATCCCAAGCAACATTTCTGGTTTTATTATGGTCTTCAAGTCCATTCTGAGCCTTGTAAACCTCTTCAAAGCCATAATAAATCCGAAAATTTTACTTGGGATTTCTCTGAGAAGTAGAATCCCTCCTCACAAATCATTCCATCGAGACTTACTTAGCTTGTGAGCGAAAGGGCATAAAAAAAGAGATTGGATAGTTGCCACTCTCAATTTGGGTGAATTTTGAGATTCATCCCTTGGCCAAAATAGTCATCCGGAGCCATTCAAATAGCACCGCACGTCAAATCATCCTCTCGCGTAAGTTCGCTCTTCCTTTTTTGCTGAGCTATTGTTTACGTCTTCCTTATTGGTACCACCACTCACTTCAGGAGAGGGCTATTTAAAGTCACAGGGCAATAGTATTTGCTAACCTCCTGTGAGTTTGAGGAACTTCACCAAACCTGTCCTTGGATATTAACTTTAAGCCTCTAGATTGGATTTGGAAGTCCGTAAAACTAATTTTGCTATTGAAGAATCCCCTTCAGCTACGTTAATTGGAACTCTTCAGCTTTTCTTCAACCGGAGACAACGTATCAAGAAGACTGGCAACTCTCGCGTTATCTTATAAGACCGCTATGAGACAGGCACAATCGTGTCATCTGCCGTTCAAAAGTAAATAATTCAATCGATTTGTTGCAAACATTACAATCTCTAAAGAAAGGTTTGTGAATTTGTTGCTTCCACCTTCGCTCAAGCGCAGCACTACTGTATCTGTCGCTTGAATTCAGACAAAGTTGCCAGTCTTCTTGATATGTTGTCTTTGCTTTTACCTTGATAAACATCTGAATTTATCATGGAGATACTTCTACTGTGTTACCTGACTTATAACGAATATACGTTGTATACGAGTACCCCGAATACAATGTATAGTTCGTCTAATTTTACATTGCAAATGCTATGCAAAATTAGACGAGTCATACGTTGTATTCGGGGTACTCGTATACAACGTATATTCGTTATAAGTCAGGTAACACAGTAGCGAAGACTGACCACTCTCGTGGTTTACCATACAAACGTCAAAAGATCCTTGCCAAAACTTGCCATCTACCGGTCAAAGATAAAATCTCCGAACGACTTTGATAGCGAAGATGCCAACCAAAAACAAAAAGAGATTTCCGTCACATTCACTCACTTTTTTAGCATGCTATACACTCTAGCATTATAGTATCCATTAATGAGTGCAATTTCACCCAATTTGAAGTATAGTAGGTTAACCCATTAAATGAGTAACGTTTACCCACTAATGGGTGACAATTAATCATTTATGGGTATTAGATACTCATTAATGGGTTTTTGTACCCATTAAATGGGTTAACCAACTTTACTTCAAAATGGGTGAAATTGTGCCCATTAATGGGTACTTTCCAGTTACAGTGTAGCAATTTCTAATAGCGCTGAGTAACCTGCGCTTTTAGAAATGTGAGTGAATTTTTGAATAAGTGAATAAATGTGACTCAGTCCATGAGTTACGTATTCTGTCCGTGAATGAGCATGCATGCTTTCCTCAAACACAGCAGCGCTTCTGTACACGCTATTTCTTAACTAACTAAGTTTGAGTAGGATCTCATATTGGCCAAAACTTACTCATTTTTGAGTAGGTTAATCAAAAATGAGTAAATTGAGGTCGATGTCCTCCATTTGTTAACTTGTTACTCCCAACCTACATATTATGAAAAAAACCACGTAAATTTCAGTGTCCTGAGACCAACACATACAAGCAGCCCTTATAGAGATTGCTGACGTTTATCGTACACACACTACGTCACATATACGTATACGCTAAATGTGTTCATCAGGAAAAAAAAAACTTCATAGCGGAAAATTTTCCTGCTGAAAAGAAATCACTGACACAATCACTCTTTAGCTGAGTACTGCGGACTCACTCAATGTGCTTGTCACTTGGGAGCCAATGTGAACTGTCAAACGGGAGCCAAACAATCAGAAGCATCAAATGCAGTTACTGTTCTTATCCATCGTCAACCATTGTAATCTCATAAAAATTTTCCATACTTTTTCATAATATATTCTCAAGTTTAAGCTCAAAGCCAAAAACCAGCAGCTCAGAGATGAAAGTATATAAACCAGGATAGTTTTTACGCCTCAGCTGCT